GCGACCTTGTAGTACAACTTTAGTACGCGGAGTATCTGGAAGAGAGTCTGAGTGTCCTACAGGAGTATCCCACAAGAGTGTCCTACAAGAGTGTCCCACAAGAGTGTCCCACAAGAGTGTCCCACAAGAGTGTCCTACAAGACTGTCCCGCAAGAGTATCCTACAAGAGTGTCCCACAAGAGTGTCCCACAAGAGTGTCCCACAGAGTGTCCCACAAGAGTGTCCCACAAGATTTTCCTACAAGAGTGACCCACAAGAGTGTCCTACAAGAGTGTCCTACAAGAGTGTCCCACAAGAGTGTCCCACCAGAGTGTCCTATAAGAGTGTCCCACAAGAGTGTCCCACAAGAGTGTCGCACAAGAGTTTCCTACAAGAGTGTCACACAAGAGTGCCCCACAAGAGTGTCCCACAAGAGTGTCCTACAAGAGTGTCCTACAAGAGTGCGCCGCAAGAGTGTCCCACAAGAGTGTCCCACAAGAGTGTCCTACAAGACTGTCCCACAAGAGTGTTCTACAAGAGTGTCCCACAAGAGTGTCCCACAAGAGTGTCCCGCAACAGTGTCGCTCAAGAGTGTATCGCAAGAGTGTCCCTTAAGAGTATCCAAAAAGAGTGTCCCACAAGAGTGTCCCACAAGAGTGTCCTACAAGACTGTCCCACAAGAGTATCCTACAAGAGTGTCCCACAAGAGTGTCCCACAGAGTGTCCCACAAGAGTGTCCCACAAGAGTGTCCCACAAGAGTTTCCTACAAGAGTGACCCACAAGAGTGTCCTACAAGAGTGTCCTACAAGAGTGTCCCACAAGAGTGTCCTATAAGAGTGTCCTACAAGAGTGTCCCAGAAGAATGTCCCACAAGAGTGTCCTACAAGAGTGTCACACAAGAGAGCCCCACAAGAGTGTCCCACAACAGTGTCCCACTAGAGTGTCTCACAAGAGTGTCCCTTAAGAGTGTCCTACAGGAGTATCCCACAAGAGTGTCCTACAAGAGTGTCTCACAAGAGTGTTCTACAAGAGTGTCTCACAAGAGTGTCCCACAAGAGTGTCCTACAAGAGTGTCCCACAAGAGTGCCCTACAAGAGTGTCCTACAAGAGTGTTCCACCAGAGTGTCCTATAAGAGTGTCCCACAAGAGTGTCCTACAAGAGTGTCCCACAAGAGTTTCCTACAAGAGTGACCAACAAGAGTGTCCTACAAGAGTGTCCTACAAGAGTGTCCCAGAAGAGTGTCCCACAAGAGTGTGTCCCACAAGAGTGTCCTACAAGACTGTCCCACAACAGTGTCCCACTAGAGTGTCTCACAAGAGTGCCCCTTAAGAGTGTCCTACAGGAGTATCCCACAAGTGTCCTCAAGAGTCAAGAGTGTCCCACAAGAGTGTCCCACAAGAGTGTCCCACAAGAGTGTCCTACAAGAGTGTCCCACAAGAGTGTCCCACAAGAGTGTCCCACAGAGTGTCCCACAAGAGTGTCCCACAAGAGTACAGGAGTATCCCACAAGTGTCCCACAAGAGTTTCCGACAAAGTGTCCTACAAGAGTGTCCCACAAGAGTGTCCTACAAGAGTGTCGTGTAAGAGTGTCCCACAAGAGTGTCCTACAAGAGTGTCCCACAAGAGTGTCCGATGGCAGTTGGCATTGGAACTTTGAGACCGTGACTGATGACGTGGAGTTCGACAAGCTCTTTTGAGTGTAGGCATGTTTGCAGGAAGGCCCCCAGAAGATGGCCAGGACATCTGAGAAAATAAGGGTCACTGGATCCATCCATGTCGGCGCAAAAGAAAAGAACATAAAGCCGACGAGTGGCAAGACAACATTTCGTAAGAAGGCGAAGCGTTTTAGCCTGCAAGGCTACATACAGTTGGCAATCGGCCCGTTTCATCCGTTGCCCCAGAAAGGATTCACGCCATGGCAGACGGCGTGGGCCTACACGCTCGTGAATCCTATAGGGAGGTCGGCGAGGTCTTTTGAGTAGGCGTGTTTGTAGGAAGCCCCAAGAAGATGGCCAGGGAATATAAGAAAATAAGGGTCACGAGTCACTGGATCCATCCATGTCGGCGCAAAAGAAAAGAATGTGAAGCCGACAAGTGACAAGACAACATTTGGCAAGAAGTGCCCTGCCAAAAAAGAAAGAAGCGTTTTAGCTTGCAAGGCTATGGTTAGTGATCAGCCCGTGTCACCCGCTATGAGCCCGTGAAGGACGGCGCAAAATTCGAACAGCGAGCTCCACTGAGCGCAGGCATTTGTGTAGCAGGCTCTCCAGAAGCTCGCGCTATCCGATATAAGAACGGATCGCCGAACGAGGCAGACTTGCTGCGGCCACGTGCTGCGGCCACGTGCTGCGGCAGTCTTCCGGCCAGAGTGACCTACAGGGGGGTCTCTGGCCTCGAGCTGGGGGCTGCAGCTGCCGCCCCTGACACCTGGGCAGGGCCTGATGCGCCCTTTGCTTGCCGCCGTGCAAGGGACTGTGGAGCCCCATCAAATTTTCTCCTTTCCAGCATGAAGTCTGGCAAACCCTTGGTAGTGTCTTGTCAAGTTTCTGTGGACCTGGCTCATTGGGATCTGTGGACCTGCAATGGCCACCCCGCCTGACTCCTCTTCAAGAAATTGTCAAGACTGCAGTTCAGTCTCAGCGTTGTTTGGATTTTATTGCGCCAAGGACACGAATCATCCACCCATTGTGTCCAAAGGACCAATAGTAATGGGCCAAAGGCCTTGATCTGAGCACTTTTCCTTCGCAGTTTTTGTGCCACTTTCCTTGTTTTGAACATGGTGAGTTGGCAAAGCTAGCATACCTGGCAGCGACCTGATGCTATGATGCTAGGAAAAGAATTCTTGCATGAAACCCCGAGCCAGCTTCAAGTTGCTGCTAGGTTCCTTGTAGGGCATAAGCTGGAAAACCAAGAGCCATCGCTAGTAGGTTGGAGGCCAATTGCTCTTAGGTTGGAGGCGATCGCTAGTAGGTTGGAGGCCATCACTAGTAGGTCGGAGGCCATCGCTAGGGAGGCCATCGCTAGTAGTTTGGAGGCCGCCGCTGGTAGGTTGGAGGCCATCGCTAGTAGGTTGGAGGCCGTTGCTAGTAGGTTGGAGGCCATCGCTATTAGGTTGGAGTGCAATCTATTATTCCTTTTTGGTTTTCTTTCACAGCTGATATATTAGCATTGTCTTCTTCTTCTTTTCCGATCCTTCCGGCTTCTTTTTGTTTCTGAGCCAGGTGTGTCTTGATTGTGTGGTGTGGACCCTTAGAAATGGGTTTAGCTGTATCAGCAAAATGCTTTTCCATTCTGGCCACTAGCTACTAAGTAGCTTTTGTGTCCTTTTCTTTGTGTCTCAGGTCTACACAAACTTAATCTCTGCGTGTGCGTATGCTGGAGAGCTTCAAAGGTGCGTTCACAGTTGTGCCCACAAAAAAAATATCAGTTTCTTTGAGGAAAAAATAAAAACGACTTATGGACTTTGCTTCAACCTAAGAGCGATGGCCTCCAACCTAATAGTATCAGCATGAATTACGTGGTTCTGTCAGGGCGGAGGCTTGCTTGGAAGAGATGGAAGCAGCAGAGATGCAAACCAATGTGGGTCGACCCAAGTCCTGCCTGGTTGAGTGTTTTTTTTTTTTTTTTTTCCGTGCTCTTAGGTTGGAGGTCGTCGCTAGTAGGTTGGAGGCCATGGCTACTAGTTTTTTTTTTCTTTATTTTTGGTTTGAATATGTTTGAACTGTCCATTTTCCGTTTTCATGTGATTCTTCCAGGTGGTAACCCACACTGCTGTTCTTCAAGCACATTTGCAGTCTTTGCACCTTCGATGAAAGCGAGAAACGTGAGAAACGGATCTTTGATTTCTCAGGTGCCAACCTTTTGTTCTTGCTACTAGTAGTAATTGCCTCCAACCTAAGAGCGATGACCTCCACCCTAGTAGCATCTTGCTAGTAGTAGTAGTAGTAGTAGTAGTAGTAGTAGTAGTAGTAGAGGCACTTTTGTTCGAAACCTTTCTGCTATGTGTTGCAAGTTCATTTTCACAGGCATCGAGTGAGTCAGCAGACCAACAATTTTTCAATTTTGCTATTCAATGGCATCGGCCAGTTTTGCCGACCCACTGGGACGTGCAAGTCTCTCAAAATGGAAAGGCAATCGGTTTAGCAGATGCTGCAACAAGCCTCCAACCTAATAGTGATGGCCGCCTGCCAGAAAGAAGAACAGGGCTAAACGTCTATAAGAGGCCGTGGGCATTGAAGGAACTGTTTGCGAAACAACCGCCGCAAGCACATCACTTGTCCAGATCACGCTTTCGCAGATTTCTTCTGTGTGTGAAAACAATGTGATTTCACTACAGTGTGGTGTCCGTTTTCGTATGAAGCGTTAAATCATTTCTGGCAAACACCAAAGTCTAGTTTCGGGTACCCAGCGCATAGGGTGTGAACCCCATGTCGCTGTGACACCTGTAGCGGCAGCGAAACCTTGGCAATCGTTGTGAAAAGGTCTTGTGAGAGTGGGACATGTTTCGAGAATGTCTGACATTGGAGACAATAATGATGCATGCACCGCCCCAACCCCCCTCCACCTGATGGAAACACGCGGCTACATTGTGGCGACGACAATATTGTGAGAATGGGTACCACTTCATGCCTTTCTATGAAATGGAGTCACTGATGTTGAGATGATGTAATCACATGAAAAGAAAGCAGGTTCAGCCCAAGTCTTCTTTTCTGGGACGCCTACAAAAACGCTTTGAAGCCCACTGCCTCTCAAAAAGGCATGCCAATCAAAGCAACAACCCATTGTGGCTGAGGCTAGTGGCGACTAGTCCTGGGGTTGTTGTATGTTGGGAGTATGCGGATTATGCCTTGGGTGAATTAGAGGCAACAAAATTGCAGAGCTATGACAAAAGTGAGGAAAAGGAAGAGCAGACAGGTCTAAAATTGTTGAAGATTTGTCAAACAATGAAAGACATAAGAACTATTACATTTCTTATTTTCTTTTTCTTTTATTGTCTATTTCTTAATACGGTTCCTATTTATTTCTTTTCTTTCTTTACATCTAAAGAGGGTTCGAGGGAGCTTCCATGAAGAACCGGAGCGTTTGCTTTCGAGCGGAAAATCCGTGGAGAAACTTTCCAATTTTTTTAAACAGTATTCGGAATTACTGTCTAAATTAGTAAGTTAATTTGGTTTAATTTAAACCTGTTTAAACTATATCATATCAGAATTTTAATTAAGCACATATATATTTTAAAGGGGGGTCGCCCGCTAAGAGGTAGCTATAGCTAGTAGGTAAGAATGGGATTGGTAAACAACTCAGCTAAGTAGGCTGCTACTAGGTACTGGACGATTGAGCAAGAGGGCCAGAAAGTGTTGCTTTCTGCAAGTTGCCGGTGGAGACGAACATGAATGCTAGGGACTAGCATAAGCTGAGAAAGAGCAGCCTAAATGCAAACAGCACATATAAACAATGTATCCACCCGCCACAAGCCATGCCGACTCTGCTTCTCACAGGGCCGGCAAATTCGGACTTGCAGTCAGCTTGCTGAGCTGATTGAAATATCAGAACCGTTTCTAGTAGCTTCTTGTTACTAGTAGTACGGCCAGGAGCCCCTAGTAGCTTCTTTGCTCCTAGTAGCGATGCCAGGAGCCCCTAGTAGCGTCCTTGCTCCTTCTTTCTATGAGAAAGGCTCGTCTTTCTTTACTTCTTTTGTGTTTACCCCCATCAGGCTCCATTTTGTTTGTCTACCCTTGTCGCAGTCAGAGTTTGCCTTGCATTCAGGCATGGATGTTCGCTCTGGCATGTTTAAGATGCTTCTTTCAAAAAAATCATTCTTCCTTCTTTAATACATAAAAAGAGCAGTTTGTCTATTCGTTGCTGGAACAATTGAAGCGGATTGTTTTGGGTTTGAGCAGTCACTTTTGCCAGGTCCGGAACGTGTTATGGAACGCATGCTGGGCTTTGACACCCCAGAGAAGCGCCCCAATGTACGACCATTTGCTTGTCTGACAATTGTACGTCTTTGGTCGTCCCAAAAAATTGTGGTCAAAGACTTCGTCTTTGTAGGCTTTGACCTTTGGACTTCTGATTGGTGCTCTTGCTTCCCGGGGTAGAAGCCTTGGACCCTGGCACTTTGGTGTTAGGAGCAGAAAGCCTGGCATTCGCATGTAAATGTCAGTTGCTAGCCATGTTTGTTCATCAAGATCCAAGTTACTGACTAACTCTTTCAGTCGGAGGCCATCGCTATTACGTTTCTTTTGCTAGTAGGTTGGAGGCCAAGTTACAGACAAACTCTTTTAGTCTTTGCAAAAACGAACTCCATTACTCGAGACTAGGTGACATTTCTGGTGCAGAACGATGGTATGCCTGCATGAGGAGCTCTTCTTTGGATCTGTGCGATTCTTTGTGCTTGGATTGTAGCAAAGGAAACCTAATAAGCAATGGCCTCCAACATAGTAGCTTCTTGCTCCTAGTAGTAAGGCCAGGAGCGCCCCTAGTTCCGATCGCTCCTAGTAGCGATGGCCTCCAACCTACTAGTTAAGATTACCAAACAATCTAGGAACCAAATCATTAGCGCGAGCTATCCTGTGTCCAAGGTAGTAGCTTCCTTTTAGCTACTAGCTACCTCTTCCTACTAGCTACCTAGACCTAGCTACGGCCTACCCACCCCCCTAAAGAACGAAAACAGCTTCTGTTACTAGTAGCTTCTTGTTACTACTAGTGAGGCACTTGTTACTAGTAGCGATGCACTTGTTTCTAATGGCTTCTTGTTCCGTTCGATTTCTTTTGCCTCATTCTTTCCAGGCGCAATCTGAAAGACGTTGACCTCGTTGCCCACAATGCAGTCATCAGCGCATCGGTCAAGCCTCCAAGTCAATCAGTGCAGTCTCCAATATTGAATGATGATCTCAACATCCCAAAAATTCATGTCTTCACACACCATTCGACTCATGTTTCGATTTCATGTAATCGGCGTTGTTTTGATAGAACTGAGTAAGCACATGGAGAACAGAGTAAGCAACAAGAAGCTACTAGGGGCTCCTGGCATCGCTACTAGGAGCAAGGACGCTACTAGGGGCTCCTGGAGTTACTAGGAGCAAAAACTACTAGGTTGGAGCATAGAGTAGCAACGTTCTCCGTACTTTTCACCGAAGTCCTGTGCCTTTGAACGCCTCTCCGTCTCCTCCCCTTTTGGTTTTGAGTACCTTTCCCAGCGCAGCTTGCACCAAAACATGGCAACTGGTTGACCACTCAGGCCATGCAGAAAAAAGGCTTCAAAAAAGAAAGAACGAATAATAGCGTCCTCTTGTTCCTAGTAGCGATGCCAGGAGCCCCTAGTAGCGTCCTCTTGTTCCTAGTAGTAAGGCCAGGAGCCCCTAGTAGCGTCCTCTTGTTCCTAGTAGTAAGGCCAGGAGCCCCTAGTAGCGTCGCTGTTGCCTGGTCGGAATTCGCGCACTTTAGCCCTGCCCATCAGCTCGGTGCTGGTGGGAGAGCGGAATTGGTAGCAGAATTGGCTCCCTGGCTTTCCTTGTTCTGTAAGGCTGCTAGTTTTTGTTTGTTTGGGGAGTGGGACAGCTGTAGCTGCAGTACTTTAGCTGATGGTCCGCTTTTTCTCTCCTTTTTCACTGCTCATCTTGTTTGAGGATGGATTTGATGGTCTAAAAACCGTTTTTTTTGCATTCTTTCTCCGATGCCTCGGCTCACAGAGCTTCTGCATTGGCCAGCTTGATTCGGTCTTTCCCATCACATTTCAGCACTCAGCGCAGCTGGCCAAGCATTTACAGTTCTTGAGTCGAGCATTTACAGGCCAAACCATGCCCTGTGTTGAGCCTCAACTTGTTGTGCGATATTGGCAATGTCGTACAGGCTTAATGGCTCAGCAATAACTCCAGTGTCTACTGAGTCTACTGGCCAAGCGTAAGTAGATACGTGGATCTGCAAGACGATCGCCAACATCCTCGTGGAACAAGTGTAGCTAGGGCCGTACACAGGCCACTCCCAGCAGAGGCAGCAGTTAGGAATCATGCTGGCCATGTAGCTGCGCTCCCAAAGCACAAAGGTGGAGCTACATGAAAAACAACATTCTTGCGAAAAACAAGCAAACATGCCGCACCTCACAGCGGAAACGGCAGACGTGACACCAGTTTGCCATCGTGTACAATTCCTGTAGGGTGCGACGCGAAAAACGTTCGACAGGCACTTTCTTGTGGCCCTGTGTGTCCAGCGGCACTTGTTCGGAGAACAGTCATTCCAGATTCATCCCAGAATCCCATGACTTCTCTCTTCTTTCAAGGATTTCAGTCAGCGCCCAGTACGTAAATACCAATGAATGAACAGGCAGAGATTTGTGCGTCGCTGTTCAGTCAGAACTGAAGCTGTCCTTCGTGTGCGCTAAGAGTGCTGCGCATAGCATGTCATGGGCAAGCCAAAACGGCAACGGGGGAATCAAGAATTTAGATGCAAAACGTTGACCCCTAACTTGTCATGCCCTGTTCAAACGTTGCACATGTTTTGGCGATGCTAGGTTTCACACTGACCGTTGCTCACGCGATAACGCCCGTGTTCAGACGCCTGTTCCGTCCCTCCCCCACACCCGGTTCACCCTCACCTCTTTGCTACACTCGTTATTCTTAATACCAGCAGCGCAAGGCAAGGGCAACGAAGAAAAACAACTTCCAGCCACATCTTTTGAAGAGAATGAGGCATTGGCCTTGTAACAAGAAGCTACTAGGGTGGAGGCCTCGCTGTTAGGTTGGAGGCCATCGCTAGCAGTAACAAGAAGCCACAGGGTGGAATGAGGCTTTGGCTAGCAAAGAAGACTGTCGAAGCTGTTTCCACAGATTGAGGCTAGAGCGCATGACGCACAAAGGGCCAGGCGCGTGTTTCTGACAGCCAAAAGAACGAGTCGAAAGGGGAAACAATAAAGTAGACGATGTGTGACCTGAAAGCGCAGTGGGAGTAAGATAGGTACAATGGGTTTAATGGAATCTGAGAACGCACAATAAAGGAAATCAATCCTAAATATTTGCAAGCAGACTGGTTGAAGTAACTCTACACGTTATCTTAATGTCCAGCAACCATTCTTTGAGCTAGTGCTGTCTAAACGTGTGAGGTTGAGGGTGATGTTGATGATGACGAGGACGACGACGATGTGATGATGAAATCACGCTCAGCATGAACAAGCCGTCTTTACACATGCACTTGTTACTAGTAGCTTCTTGTGTTTCCTGTTCTCCAAGGGGATGGTGCACGCAAATGCACTTTCGACCGAGGCCTCGCAAAACCGCATGGCATAGCCACGTCACAGACGTAATCTCGCTACACCATGTGCAGATTCGATGCAGCCATGTGACACCAAGGCTCGTTGACACCAATCATCCGCAGCATATGCACGTTGCGGCAACATTGCAGATGTAGTTTTGCCGCAGCAATGAGACACCAACCCCTCGTGACACAAATCATCCTTCTCACCAGCGACTTGCCGCGTTTGCGCACGCATGTTTCCCGTTCCCCGAGGAGCCATGCTACGACATCGGAGGCGTACTTTCGCCGCGCTGTGCCAGAAACTGTTCCCCGCACAAATTGCCAGCGCGACGCTTGCGCCACAAAGTTGCCAGTTCTGAGCCCACAGCTTCACAACTGCGTCTTTGCACAACAGTTTCGGACTTGGCACCGCGATTCCCACAAAGGGCGGTGCGCCAAGTGTGCTTTGGACCACAGTTGCACACACCCAGGAGGCACGCCCAATGTATGTTTGGGACACTCCACCCGCGCGATTCCCTTAGAGGGCCGCGGCGGGCAGGCTCTCCGTAAAGTACATCCATATGATCCGTCTATACAGGCAATACATTTGTTCAGCTAGATCTATCCACCAACGTCTACACCCCTACATCGTATACACCTATGTCCATACGCCTGCATCTTCCCACCCAATCAGATGTTTATAAACACCGAGACGTCTCTGCACACAGAGACGTCTACATACAGATAATCCGCACGGTCTCAACACATGATGACAACGATGATTACTTGTATGATGATGGTGACATGACAATGAAGAAACGATGAAGGTGATGGTCAGGGAGATGATCTAGAAGATGAAATTGGTAGCTATTCTTTTAAGGAGAACCTTTTGCAGGTGCATTTGGAGCGAAGAAATCGCGTGTTGCATTGTTTTGTTCTGTGTTCGTTGTATCTGGCTACTTTGATGGCGAGGCTTTGGTTTGGCCGGATGAAGACAGCAAACTTGACAGGAGATGGGATGAGTCTTAGCCCCACGGAGCAGCGTAGCTAGTTAGCTAGTTGTTTGCACGGAAGGCCTGCGACAGCATGGTAGATGTTTGACATGTATCATATCGTTTGTAGTCCTTGTGCGCTTGAAACTTTGTGAGGCTTGAACTCAACGCTTGATCCGGTTGCTCGCGGCGTGGATGTGGCAGTTCTTCGCAGCGAGGCTTTGGAGGTGCCCTTGCTGCACGAACAAACTTCTAGTAGCTTCTTGCTCCTAATAGTACGGCCAGGAGCCCCTCGTAGCGTCCTTGCTCCTAGTAGCGATGCCAGGAGCCCCTAGTAGCGATGCCCTTGCTCCTAGTAGCGTCCTCTACTTGGTAATTCGCTTCTCACTGTTGTGGTGCGAAATAGCCCAGAACAAAGAACACTTGCTGCGCTCGTGAACGACTTTGCACGTGCCCCAGCTTCTTGAAGCTAAGGCGGAGTGGCTTTGCGATGAATTGGATCCAGCTGGGCTTTTGGCCAACGTGACTTTGCTGAACATTTGAAAGATCTCTCTAAAGATAGCTACAACCTAGTAGCGATGGCCTCCACCCTAATGGCAATGGCCTCCAACCTACTAGCGATGGTCGATATGCTTTGCTTTGAATTGCTTTTGTGTTTCTTCGATCTTCTTCGGTTGTTCGGAGGAGATCACCTTCTCGATCTTGATGCGGCCTTGGGCTCTCATGGGTTCGGGCCTAAGCAACAGCGTCAGGATCCTCATTGATCCTTCGTTTTGCGTCAAATGGGCTGTGCCCATTGCCAATGATCTATGTGTGGATAAACCCGAAGGAAAAGTCAGTGCCCTATGGCCTGCTGTTCCAGATTTCTCACCAAAGCGGCTGTTGATTCTTTGCTGACTAGTGGTACAAGTCCCAAGCCGTTTAGAGAGCCACACTCTTTGGAGCCTGGAAGAGCCAGAGCAAAAACCCTCTGGACTTGTGGCCGGTCTGTCCCAGATAGCAACAGGTTTTGACCGCTTCTTCATATCGTGAACCTTGAGATCATCTTCCTGGTTCCCTCTTTCCTTGTCATGCTGTTCTGGTTGGCTAAAACTCCATCTGGAGTTTTGGGTCTACTCTATTCTGTAGCCTGACTTAGCAGTCTTATGACCTGGTTGTTCTGAATCACCTCCCCTCTGTTGCCGCATGGTTCTTGAAAGTCTTGAAATATCTTCAGATTCCAAAAATACAGGTGTAGCTTCACAACGAGAACCACACAAACATTTCAACAGCAACTCCAGTTTCATTCAACATGTTGGCCAGCTCCCTATCGAACAGGTTGTAAATGGCCTCAGTAATTTTTTTTTGTATTTTTTTGATGGTTTCTGTTGTTGGAGAGATGATGTCATTTGTCTGAAGATAGTGCATTTCGATGGATCATTCCGATCGATCGTGAAGAGGGACCATCTCATGGAATTTGGTGCAATATTGCGTCCAGCGTTTAACATGTGTCTTTTTTAATCTTTCGATGTTCCATCCTGAGATTTTGAGCAGTTGCCATTTATTCCCCTTGAATCCCATAATGAACTTCCAATTATCATGTTTTTGGAACAATTTATGTATTGATGGACATGCCTCGTTGTGCCTCTCGTTTAAGGATCAATTTGCAGGGTCAGATTGTGCATCCTCCCTGGGTCACTTTACTCTGGCATTACGTGTTAGCTTGGAGGCCATTCCTAGTGGGTTGCAGGACATCGCTTGTTGGCTGGAGGCCATCGCTATCGCTTGTAGGTTGGAGGCGATCGCTATTTCGTGTTAGTTTGATTGTTCTATGGTCCCCTCAGCCAGACTTTTTCACGCGACAGAAACAGCACAGTGGCTAAGTTTGAAGGCGTACAAAGTACAAGTAGGAGTCTTTCTTGGAGATTTGTGAATTAAGTTGGAATCAAGTTGCTTGTTATGCGTGTCTACTTTGGCCTATGGACCTGACCTGCTTTGGGCATGTTGGGCACCCTTCCGCTTCCGAACCCTCACGCTCACGGCCTGCGCTTTTGGGGATCCCTTTGTTCCGTTTCATTCCCGTTCTCAAGCAGCAAGGACGCTACTAGTGGCTCCTGGCCTTACTACTAGGAACAAGGGCCTTACTACTAGGAACAAGAAGCTAGTAGTAACAATAAACAACAAGTTTAGAATCTAATTAAAATTAGAAGCAAAGGAGGCTACATTCCGGCAGCAAACTGTGTACCTCAGTGACCAAGAAATAACCCATCATGTGGCTTGCCCTTCATCGGCATCCTTCCGCATGAAGCAGTGTTGGAGGCAGATGCAACACTGGCAAGGTCTTTGAAGCTACTAGGAGCAAGGACGCTACTACGAGGTCTTTGAAGCTACTAGCAACAAGAAGCTACTAGTAGCAAAGGGCATTTCTACTAGGAGCAAGGACGCTACTAGTGGCTCCTGGCCGTACTACTAGTAACAAGAAGGCTGTTAGCAAGTCAAGATGGCGCACCTGTTCTAAGGCGATCTTCCCAACGTGGACAGGCTCTGGCAGAAAATGCAAAAGCAAGGCTTGCAGCCGAAGGCCGTTTGCCTCCTGTTCTGTTGTGGCAGTAGATTAGCTTTGATATGTTTCTACGTTCGCTTCTTGTTCCTACTAGTAAGGCACTTGTTACTACTAGCGTGGCACTTGTTACTAATAGCTTCTTGTTCCTAGGTTCTCCATTTCTTTTGGATTTGGTAAGGCATATTGAAATGCTTCTAGTAACAAGTGCCACGCTTCTAGTAACAAGTGCCTTACTAGTAGTAACAGGTGCATCGCTAGTAGTAACAAGTGCCACTGCCAGGCGTGCAACTTTTGGGCAGTGCTCACTGCCTGTGCTCATTCCCAGCCGCCGCAGCCTGACACAGCCGCCCAACGATACGAAGACAGCCGCATTTTGTGTTTGTGATGTGTTTTTTTCCTTTTGGTGTGGGCCTGTGTGCTGGTCTGGAGCATGTCACTCCATATATGCATATGCATATATTCTACACCCCCCCTAAAACCTACCTTTTGGACAATTTCATTGGTATTTGCAATGGTTTGGTGAGATTTCAGAGGACACATTGAACAGTATAAGTTTGACCATATTGTGGTCTTTGACTGGGTGTTAGTTAAATCATTGATTGGTTCTAACTTTTTTGTATCACCGGCGCCTATGATGATTTTATTGTCCTTATGTTTTTCAGTAAAGTTTAAAACCTTACTATAGATATAAAGATTGGTCATATAGATTTCATCAAAGAAGATGACATCAAACTTGTTATGATCAAGCTCTGCTAGTTCATCCCCCTTATGAGCTGGAATTCTATTTCTTGACTTAACTGGTTATGAGGCACTACAAACAAAACATTTTTATGCACTTAAATACTGACCTATGTAACTCTTGCCCGATCCAGCAAATTTTGCTCTGATCATGCATGGGTTTTGTTCTTCAATTTGCTTACATATCGCGGGGGTGTCCCATTCATCCACCTCTACTGGTTCATTTTATATTTTTGGAATTTCAATTCAGTCATTATATCGAAATATGTATTTATTGGTTGGACAATTGATTGATTTGTTAGTCTCCAGTTGCCTATGCCTAAAATGATTTGGTTTGCCCATCACTCGAGTTAAATCGTCTTCGATCGTGAAGGCGTCACTCTTTGAGGCCAGGGAGCTGAACAAACTTAACCGTGGAACTGGATGGCCGAACAAGAAGCTACTAGTAACAAGTGCATCGCTACTAGTAACAAGTGCCTTACTAGTAGTAACAATGTTTGCTATTAATTTAAATTCTTCCAGGGCAACATTATCAACAAGCCGTCAGACGGCTCAGGGTCCATTTAGCCGAGTGAGCTTCCGGGATTGAAGATTGTCAGGTTGGCAATTCAATAACTTCAGAGGCGCTCTTTGACTTCTTTGATGGCCCATTGTGGGAGAACTCCGTGACAGCAATGTGAAAGAACTTTGTGTAGGCTTCGTTGAGATGCTTGGCTCTACAAAGGCAGCAATATATGCAACCAAGTGGCGCTGGAAGCAGATGTTCTTGGTCTATTCGCGTCATAGTTTCTTTGACTTTTGCGGCCGAGCTAAAGTGGAGGGATGACTACATACCTCGCGCCGGAATTCCGGAAAGTGCTCTTGCGTGCTGCAGGAAGGTTCAACTCATTGTGTCCGACGCGTGTAAGTCTTGTTGTGGCCCGTAATCGGCTCCTTTGAGCACCGGGGCCAGATGAATCAACCACGCGCTTTGAGATGGTGGACTAAGCCAACGGCAAACGTCATCGATGTGCTAGAAGGTTGAAAGGCGGACCGAACCAATAGGAGGGCCCTTTCAGTCCTGGGCAGACATTGGGTGCACTTTAAGACGGCCGCGTTTTTGAGAAATTGGGCGGCTCATTGTCCCTTTCAGAGTTCTCATATGGTCTAACGATCCGAATTCTCCAGAAGCACAGCAACGGGCTTGAAGTGTGCGTGGCCGGAGTGTGTTCGGTGCTGGCTGGCGTTCCAGGTGTTCGGTGCTGGCTCCGCCAGACCTGATGAAAATAGAATGTCCCAGCCCACCAATTTAGGACGCTACTAGGAACAAGTGCCACGCTACTAGTAACAAGTGCCTTACTAGTAGTAACAAAAAGCTATTAATTTTTGGAGTGACATGAAATTGTGGCCGTTTGTTTTTGGAGTGGGTCTGTACGTTGCTCTCTCCGGCATGTCACCCTATACACATGCAGAAGCGGACATGTCGACGCGAGCTGCAGGACTGGGTTGCCTCTGGTGGCAACACAGACAAGCATGTCTTGTCTGCGCTGCGGGCAGCATTGGAGAAGCCAAAAGCCTTGCAGTTGTGCACTTGCATGTCGATTGTATGTGCTTCGTTGTCCTTGATCACCTGTTGGATTTGGTTGTGGGGCCAACTTTCACAACGCCAATAGTTAGGTTTCCCCAATGTACCACTTCGGAAGTTTGTTTGCGGCAAATTTACGACTCCAACGACAAGAAGATAACGCGGACAAAATGGTTTGGAGGGAAAATTCAAAAGAACATTGATTGTAGATGTCTAAAGAGTGTCCAAACTCGCTGTCTTTATTTTGCTCAAGAGGGGACAGCAGTCAACTGAAACATCATGTGGTACTTTTTCGAAACTAATATGTTCGTTGCGTATATTGTTTGGATAATTGAGTCATTGAGCTCTTGGCGGTGTGTTGCACAAGTCTATCGCGTAGAGAACGTTATATCAAAACCAACATGAGTAGCGGTAACTTTGACCCACAAAAAACGACAGCAATTTGCAATAATTTTTTGAATCGATGTTGAACAAACCAGATAGCAAGATTGAACGTAGGTGGCTGGCAGGTGGGTTCTGACTGCGCCAAGCCATCAAAACTTGCTATGGCAGTGAGATTCTCAGTCCTCACAGACATTTGATCGCAGTTTTCTTCAGGTTTACAGTACCGGCATGGACCTGGGACCTGTAATTGATTGTGTTTTTTGAAAAAAGGGCGTGGTTGGTGGCTGCAAGAAAACCACAAAAACAAACTCCCGTGAGATTTGCTGGCTCGCTTCCTTGAGATGTGAGGTGCCACGAGTGGGAGCGACCAATGAAAGAAACAAATACAGGACGGAAGAATTCCAACTCGAGTGTAGCAACTATTTCGCACAAACTAGTTGTTTTGAATTTTCATTGTCAGAGAGAGTTTTTGCAAACCTTTGATTTGCTAGTGCCACCAGGCTTGGACGTTGCTCCTGTTTGTCTATGTACCTAGAGCCCTAGAGCGGACGACACGACATGCTCCCTTCCTCGCACGACGCGAACAATAACATCAATTTGGCATCAAAGCGAAGAATGGAGCCTTCTACAAGAATAGGTTTTGATGTAGAGCTTCGCAAACCGGCGATGCCATAAGGGTGGTTGTCGCTGTCCCTGTTGTGGTTGTTGTTGTTGTCGTTGTTCATTGGTCTTGTTGCCTTGTGTGCGCACAGGCAATGACACACCGCAAAAAATGCAGTATTTACTAGTTGTGCCTGCATTAGGGGCCAAAACACAGGACATATCGATGCAATCAAAAGCAAGGGGAGATATACGCCGTTTCTTTTGTGCGATGTTGGGCGGTGCTACGGCCCATGTTGGAGCCATGTTGACTCCTGCGCAACCCCCCAATTGATTCGGTAGAGGACGCTACTAGGGGCTCCTGGCATCGCTACTAGGAACAAGAACGCTACTAGGGGCTCCCTGGCCTTACTACTAGGAGCTTTTTTGGCGTTTTTGTTGATCTTCAAACACGACGAACAACATTACATCAGCCCCTTGCGCCGACCCCAGTGAAGCTCTGGTGTGAGGGGTGCGGCGTCTGGTTTGGTCGCCGTGCCGGAAAGGAAGGAGGAGGAAGGCACTGCAGAAGGAAGGTGGCTAGGATGGAGGTCAAATGGTGTCGTTTGTGGCTGCAAGCACGCCCGCACATACTCAAGCTGTGGTGTTGCTTCGCTGTTCCATATTGGGTCCTTGGTTTGCTCGTATATGCTATCTTCAAGTAATCTTTCTTGGATAGTTTTCTTTCGGTCCTGGCATCGCTACTAGGGGCTCCTGGCCTTACTAGGAGCAAGAAGCTAGTAGAAACAAGTGCATCGCTACTAGGAACAAGTGCCTTACTAGTAGTAACAAGAAGCTAGGCACTTTTGTTTCCTCGAGTGACTCGAGTGGTGTTTCCTCGAGTGGCGGCATGTGGGTGCGAAGGGGTAAACCGGGTAAACGGCAAAAAAAGTTGGATGCTTGCCCTTTGCTCCCTTCGTAGCGTCCATTGTTCCGTTCGTAGTAAGGCCAGGAGCCCCTAGTAGCTTCTTGTTGGATGCTTTGGTGCTCGGGGTTTGGCAAATTTCCCTGGTGAATTTAAGGCGAGGCATCTATATAACCCCTCTCCGCCCTTAAGGCTGTTGCAGGAGCAACAATATGGAGGTTAAGGGTAAGTCGGCGTGTGGATGCTTTGACCTTGTAGGAACCATCAAAAGGATGTGTGAATAGTCGTGTTGAATCACAATAGGACAAGTTGGCGTGGAGGGAAAGCGCGCCGTTTAAACGAAGTAGTTGCGCATGCCTTCGATTAGAACACCATTTGTAACCACAGTCCTCGTTTAGTGATACCATAGAAGTAAAAAATGCCCAAGTGGCTTGCAATCTCCATCCACATCCACGAACGCGCATGTCGAAGCGCAAGAGTTAGGGTCACAACTCTCATCCAACGGTTGGTATGCAACCTTCGCAGCTTCGTGTTTTCTTTTCTCCTTGCTCCCTAAACACGTGTATAAACCTGAACTTGCGCTGTAACACCAGAGCATGACATGACAGATAATCGATTCACTCTGTCATCCTTTGTCTCATGATCCTTGGAAAGGCACAGTTTAGCATCGTCAAACACCTCCGTGTTCATATTTAGGAAGGATCTGGACGTGTAGGCAAAACCCCGCGTAAGGATGCACAAACATTTATTTGCTGAAGCACTAGCGTAATTAGTGTACATAAACCCTGCGAGTTTCCTTTGCTTCATCCGAAGGATCATCTCATGTCCTCTACATGGGGTGTATTTTGAACGTTGCTTAAGCGATACGGTAGGAACAAGAACGCTACTAGGGGCTCCTGGCCTTACTACTAGGAGCAAGGACGCTACTAGGAACAAGTGCCTTACTACTAGGAACAAGAAGCTACTAGTAACAAGTGCATCGCTACTAGGAGCAAGGACGCTACGTTCGGGGCTCCTGGCATCGCTACGAACGGAGCATTGAACGTTGCTTAAGCGATACGTAGCAGACGTAGCGCCTCCTTACGACCGACCCTTCGCTCCAAACAACGCTCAAGTGGCCATCGCAACTCACTTTTCCACATCCATGTGGAGCGCGAGGCAATTTAACCGAGGGTTGAGTTTTCAAGTTTGCATTCGGCTGCCTTTGAGCCTTTCTCAATTTTCGGTTGTCCAGTCACTTTTACTCATTTCATCATGCTGCGTCTCACTTTGCGCGCGTTCAGTATGCAGACTCCATAACGGAGAAAATGGAGATAAAGAAAAAGAAGGCAGGGTCCCTTTAATCAGGATCCCTTTTGAGGGTCCTTATTAAAGGGGACCCTTACCTTTTATTGCATAGTTTTTTTTTTTTTTTAAGTTTAAATATATGGATACTTTTCATTACGAACCACCTCCCACCAGTGGCAGTCACCACCTTTACTCCATTTGGCAAGTTTGCATCGCAAGGCCATCAAAGCCGCAAGGTGCCAAGAAGGTCCAAACAGCAAAGCAAGCAAAGCAGCAGTAAACGAAGTGTTTCGAGCTTCGTTTCAGGGTTTGGTGAAGCTACGAGTCTCCAAGGCAGTGCGGAAGGCACGGCTTGTTGATTGCTTTACAACTTCGATGTGTTTTTTTTGTTATGTATTTTTTATTTTCTCTTGAAATACACAGCAAGATAAAGCAAGTACTTGTGTTTCCTTTGCATTTTGTGTGTCAAGCTGGCAGCCCTTCATCTATCAAGAGAAGAAAGGTTGCAAAGGTCTTGTGCCAGAGTCCCCGGAGCAAACAGGGAGAAACAAGAAACACTGATTACGATAAATTAGTTCAAGTTCTAATTGCAATGGCCCTGAACCTACAAGCGATGGCCTCCACTTAGGAACCACTTATGATTGATACTAAAAAAAGAGACAAACACAGGAGCAAAGACGCCACTAGGGGCTCCTGGCCTTACTACTAGGAGCAAGGACGCTACTAGGGGCTCTTTTCTTGAGGAGTGGTGGAACGGCATTTTTGGATCTCACTGGGCTGAGGTTGGGGCAAGCTCCGCCAGGGCCACGAGAAAATTTGCCCAGGCGAGGTCTAGAGTCAAAGGCCTTATGAAAGGGATCCAAACACCCCTATTAGGAGGCCTATTTTAGGGGTCTAAAGGTTCATTTCTTTCATTTCGTTTATTTTTTTCTTGAAGGAGGCCATCGCTATTAGGTTGGAGGCCATCGCTAGAAAGGTTTCCCTTATTTTCCAAATTTGGAGCCCCTAGTAGCGTCCTTGCTCCTATTAGTGATGCCAGGAGCCCCTAGTTGCTTCTTGTTCCTAGTAGTAATGCCTTTTGCTACTAGTAGCTTCTTGTTGCTTCTTCTCTTTTTTCCAATCCAAGTGCAAAGAGCTCATAAGTAAAGGCTCCAAAAGCAACCCGTTTATACAAGTCATTGGTCTTGCCAGCCTGCGTAGCCTGCGGACAAATTATAATGAGAATGATATAGAACGTTTCTTTTGGTTAAATTGGATTTCCAACATATTCTATATTCTTATTTTTTTTTCAATCTTTGTTTGCTTTTTAGATTTGCAAAAACAGACGAAGGGGATGGCGTCCACTTGCTGGACCGGCTGAGCAACGCTTGGGGCGGTTAGCTGGATTGGTCCAAGCCTCAGGGACGGATCGGAAAGTGAGTCTTTCTGGAACGTACGGTTCTTCTTGTTTTTCGTTATTGAACATGAGTTATGCTTAATTGTTTTGGTAGAATATCGTGTTTTTTCTCCAAACCGTTTACTCTTGGGGTTCTCTCTTAAAAGAAGAGCTGGCCACAGTCTCTGGCCGCGCCTCTTGTCCAGTCCAGGGTCTGCTTGGCCGGGCCTTGTTCGGGTCTTGTCCTGCTTGTCCATGTTGTCGACAAGTTGTCGGCCCTTTTACTACAGCCTTGTTTCTAATAGCTTCTTGTTACTACTAGTAAGGCACTTGTTACTAGTAGCGATGCACTTGTTTCTAATAGCTTCTTGTTACTACTAGTAAGGCACTTGTTACTAGTAGCGATGC